TGAAATCGCATCATATGACCCCTTTAATAGCTCTGTTTATTGGAATCTCCTACGTCTCCGCGTCTCCTCGCTCCAGCACAGTAGGCACACGTGACACATGCAATGTATTGTTGGCTATTGCTACAAATATACCCCAGCGACTTAAGACTGGTTTTGTGCTGCAGGGACACATATTTGAGACACAAATTAAGAGCTGAATTAACATTGCTTTATATTCTGAAATGTAACATAAATATTTTATGAAATGAATAAAACATTAATTTGTAAATGTTTTATAAACATTTAATTATAGCGTATTAACACGCTAACATAAATCTACTGTCAAACTATTATATATTTTATATATAACTATGCATTTACTACTAAAAACATTGACAGAAAATAATTGAAATCTAATTAAAAATTTGTATTTCACCCAATATTTAAATGTTCTAATTACTTTATCTAATGTCTATAATGTCAATATAACTATAATGTCAATATAACATAATGCATTTAATACTAAAAACATTGATAGAGAATAGTTCACATCTAATTAGAAATGAAGTATTTCACCAATATTTGCATGCTTATTAGCTTATCAACATGATATATTTTATATATAATATAGCAATGCATTTACTATCAAAAATATTGATAGAAAATAGTTAAAAATTAAGTATTACATCCAGTATTTGCATGTGTTTATTAGCTTATCAACATAAGATTTACACAATGCATTACCAAAAATATTATTTAATATTTAAATATTGTTAAATATTATTTAACAAAATATTTAAAAATATTTAATATCATAAATATATGGTTCATATCTTATAAAACATATTTTACCCAATATTTGCATGTGTTTATTAGATTATCAACATCCAACTATTTGGTTTTCTACATTTTATAAAACTGTTTGATGCTGTTTTACAGTATTTACAGTATCTGAATACAAACACTGAACGCTGTTGAACACACAGACGTAATTACAAGTCAGTTTGAGGGCTACAAGAGACCAAACAAAAGTCCACAATAATAGAAGCATCTGCTAAATGTAGTGCAAATGTAAAAACGTATCACATTACAGGAGTAATTTGTGTTGAGGCTCATTTAGCTCTGATAAAGATCAGTAAAGGGTTTCCTTCCTTGAAGCTGTACGAAGCAGTACATTCATCTGCACACGTGAATCGAGCGGCATCAGCATCTGTCAGTCAAACAGGAATCTCTCGCTCTCCTAAAGCAGGAACCTGAGACGCGTGTGAATGGATTTATTGATTTGCGTGAGGATTCAGACCTAACTTCATGGGCTGTTGAGTTTATGTTTATGAATTCTGTCTGTGGGGACTGCGGTTGGACTTTTGTTTTGCGGAAAAGACAGGTGAAGCCTCGTGTTTGAGTAGAGAACTGAGCACACGACTTCAGGAGTTTTAAAGAGCTCCTCACTCGTCGTGAATCTCTGATATCTGCAGGTTTGAGTGCCCTCTGTGTGTGTGTGTGTGTGTGTGTGTTTGTGTGCGTGAGTGTGTGTGTGTGTTTGTGTGTGTAAGTGCGTGTGTGTGAGTGTGCACAGGTGTGTGTGAGACTGCACAGGAATGTGTGTGTGTTATATAATATTACAATATTATTATTCACATTTTTCTGAATTAAAAATGTTATTAAAATTTGCTATTTAAATTTTTTTAATATAATATTACAATATTATTATTCACATTTTTCCTGAATTAAAAAGCATATTAAAATCTGGGGCCGGTGTCGTGTGGGGCAGCTTCGGGGCTTCACATTAGCAGCTGTGATCAAGCCTGTGACAGATTAACTCTTGACTTGCTGTTGACGGGAACACAGAGGGTTAGAGTCCTCAGCTTTCCCCCATCACTGTAACCACACCCTTCAGCCGAGAGATACTCCGCTCCACACGCGTGTGTTTACTGTGTTTACTGTGTTTACTGTGCGGAGCTGTAGAGACGCAGCATGACGGATGAACTAGACACTGATCTATCACTATCATTGAATGATAAATTTAAAATAAATTTAATTAAAAATAATACACTTAATTTTAATATATATATATTCTGCACTGATCTTTAGAAACAAACAGTCCGTGTGTGTTGTGTTGCAGAGCTGCTTTGTGCTTCTCCCAGCATGCTTGAGTGAAGTTAAACAGAGTCTGCTAACAGTGCAGTGCATCTCTAAACGGGTTTCGCTGCTCGACCGCAGCAACAGCTTCAGATCATACGTACAGTACATGTTGATGTATTTTTAGTGACCTCAGGACTCGAGACAGGCCTGTTTGTTCATGTGTTCTGTATTTATTCATGTGCAACATTTCTGGCTTGTATTTTGGTGCATGTAATATAAAAACGCTCTCTAGGCACAAGTAATGAAAAGTATAGAATATTATCAATAAATGAAAATTGTATTAAAATAAGGTGCTAAGTAATTGTTAGTCATAAAAATTAGATAAAAAATTAAATTATAAAATAAATAATGTAAAAATTATAGATATAAATACAATTTAAAAAATAAAATAAATAAATGTACATTTATCAAGACATTATGAAGCAAAAACTGTATGTAATAACATATGTATGTTGATGTGTAACGGCTGAGCATCTCATCTCTGCTGAAACACACACATGCGTGATGTACAAACGCACTGAAACATGTTTAGACCGCGTGACGTGAACCTGGACTGTTTGTCAGTCTATAATGCAGCACCGTAACGTCATCGTCATTGATTATCCA